TGGCGATGCAGAAAAGTGATAGATCCAGAGCCAAGGCTGCTCGGAACTGAGTCTCATACGAAGAACCAATCCTCAACGACACACCGCAAAATACGGCACGGCCAGCCAGACGAGCTTCCAGTCGAGACATCATCGCCATCACTTCCATCCCGTCTTGTCGTACATTTTCGTATACTGTCGGCCTCGCAGCACCCATTGCTTTTTCCTTAGCCGTTGATATGTTCGACGCACGTGGCGGTCCCGCCAGCGGCGTGCCTGAACGCCCACCCGGCGCGTGCGCCGTTGCCGTGCAGCCACGAGGCGCGCGCGGGGTACCTGCGTGCGCCCCCCTTCTGGAAGGATGGATAGATGATGCTGCGGCTGCCGTCACGTCGCCGCCGCTCGTGATGTGACAGGGGGCGCGGCGTGTTTATTCCCCTCGAGCTAGGACATGCATGCGTCGAAGCTTCGACGAAGCTTGGTTGTTTCGAGAGAGAAAAAGGGAGTTGAAGCGAGGCGGCGGTGCATTGATTTGTTTGTTTGGTTGGTGTGCCTGGTTCGGCCAGGCCAGGCCAGCCGTCCGGTAATCATGGTGGCGATTGCATCGGGTGATGAGACTTGTGGCCTTCGGCTTTTCATGTCCGCATGATTTTGATCATACCCGCTCGACAAGTGTCAGTCTTTTCGTTCTCAACAGCACAACACATTTCAAGAAAGCTGGCCAGATGGGAGAGGAGAAACAAGATTCGAGTAATATGTACAGTGTTACAACAGCAGCCCGCCTGCAAGGCCTTGCCACGTGCGGCCAGTCCCGATCGCACAGCTTTTCAACAGCTCGTAAACAATTTGGAGCACAAGAGAAATGGTTTAGAGCTTGCCGCCGTACTCCTGGGGCTGCTTGGCGGCGTCGCTTTGCTTGGCCACACCAACAACGCCGCCGTCCCTGGGCTTGTTCGCGTCCAGAGGCAAGTCGAGGTTGAGGCGCTTGCGGGTCGAGTAGGTGGCGAGGCTGCCGTCAGGGTCGGCCTCGGTGATGAGCTCCTTGCGGCGCGTGTCGACCAGGAGCCTGATCAGGTCAGGGCGCATGTAGTGACCGCCAAAGTCAGCAAGCGCCTTGGTGAGGTGCGACTCGTTGAGGTCGACCTGGGAATGGTAAGCTATGTTTAGACCGAGGCTTCTCTGATGACTACTTACGTCAACGAACAGCAGACCGTCAAAATCCTTGTCGGGCTTGGCGACCAGAGTGCCGTCGGGCTTGTAGATACGGGCGTGACCGTTGTAGGGCGAAGGATCAGTCTCGGGCTCGACGCCCTCGGGAGTGTTCGCCTTCAAGCCTTCAACCGACAATCGCTGGAAGGGTGCGAGAGTCCAAGTGCCAGTCTCAATGGCGTAGGCAGGAGTGACGAGATCAGAAGCCGGGTCGGCGACGTTGGTGGCGGGGTCGGGGTACTTCAATGTCTCCTTGCCAGGGTAAATCGGCCAAGCAGCAACGCTGTGGATTGTTAGTGCCTGTAGGAGAAAGTGTTGGCAAGTCACTTACTGGATCTGCTCGCCCTCAGCAACGTTCATCGCCTTGAGGAAGGGGTTCATGTTCTCCCAGCAGTTGAGCTGACCAAGACGTCCAATCTCGGTCTCGGTGACAGACTTGAAGGTGTCACCAGAGCCGTCGCCGTAGACGAGCTTCTCGACGTGGGTGGGCTTGATCTTGCGGCGGTGGTTGAGGACCTCGCCAGTGGGAGAGATCAGAACCTGGGCAAGGTAGAGGGTGGCATGGTCAATCTCGGAGAAACCCATCGAGACGTAGCTATCCGCAATCAGTCTTGCTACTCGCAAAGAAGGAATGATTCGTACATGGAGTTGTCCCTGGCAGCGCGGCGGATGCGCCTCATTTCCTCAGAGTCGACAGCCAAGCTGTTCTCGCGGTACTTCTTGAGCATGGGCAGAGACTGCTGGTAGGTGACCTTCCACATCCAGTAAGGGTAGCCGGGCATCCCTATACAAGTCAGAAAGGCCCATGTATCGATGCCAGGGGATCTTTCTTACAAACTTCGGGGAAGGCTACGAGTCGACAGTTATTCTGCGCGGCCTCTTGAATAAAGCTAATGGTCTTCTGGACACCAGCCTCCAAATTGAACCAGGCTGGCTCGCTTGTAACTTTTGACTGTCAGCACCTGCGTGTTAGAAGTGCTGGAGATGTCCTCTTACCCTAATAACTGTCAGCACCTGCAAAAACAAAAACGCGCAGGAGATGTCCTCTTACCGCGGCGGCCTTGTACTTGGTGACGGTAGTAGGCATCTTGATTGTTTGGAGAAAGTATTCAAAGACTGAATGTGTTGGATCTCTGGTTGATGTGGACGAAGGACTGGATTCGCACTCATCTTAAATGGATCTTTGAACTTCGGCTTGGGTGCGACCAGACAAGCTACACTCCGTTACCCGAGCCTCTCCGAGTAAAGTCGCCCTGCAGGCCAGCAGCTTTCCCGCAGACATCCAAGGCCTTGCCATTAGTGTGTGTCCTGTATAGTGGGGAGTGGAATGATGTCTAGTTGGACATGGCCAATCGGAAGGATCGATAAGCTCTAGATTGCGTGCGGAGAGCCGATAGTAGGACGCTTGGAGGCAACAAGTCAGTTCAGCTTACCGTCATGCCGATACTGCCAAACGCGTCTGTCGAATGTCGTGCCGGCGGGTTGCCGTTGATCGCAAAGGGTGGAGATGCCGAAGATGCCGAAGCACGCCGCGGCAGCCGGCCAGCTGGCATGATATCACAACTGGATGCCGCGACAACCGCGACCCCAGCTATCGATGTGATCTCAAACTCGACGGGGTCTGGTCCGGTGTCGCATGTAACTTGCCATTGTCAGAAATCGACGTCGGTACAGCTGCATTTTCTCCAAGTGCGGGGCAAGGGCCAATGACCGCCAATTTCTCCAGGCACAACCGCTTGCAATGACTTGACTGGATAATTGAGGGAAGGGGAGTCCATTCAAGCTTTTCCGAGTGTTCATCGCGCAACACATGAAAGTGGGGAGCAGTCTGCCATTCAGGGCGTGTGGTTTGGTGAACTCAGGCTGGCACTGGAAAAGATCGGCGGCTCGGTCCGCCATCCGCAAAACGTAGATCGCTCCTCCCACCCAGCAATGCTCAAAAACACAGCAAACACCGCCTGCTTCATGCCCGATGGCGCTCGCAATGAATTCACTGATCCACAGATTACGTGCCCATAGTACCACGAGGGCGGAGTGCATCTGCGGAGATCTACAGGCTGCCGGTACAATAGTGGTAGCGCGAAATGACTCCCGATCTGGGGTGACTGTGTCTGGGGAGCATTCGTCCCTTGTCGTAGGTTTGGCTAGACCCAAAGAACATCCTAACTTTCAACCCCGATCGGAATAATAGGTTGAGGAAACCTCTGCCCGGCAAGAGTACAGAATCCGGACATGTCGGTTTCGAATCTACCTTTGAATAGTATGTTACCTTGGTAAGCTTCTTTACGTGCCAAGGACCCCATGAGCTTTTCCTTGTTGGATCCTCATCTTGGCTTGCACTACAGGTTCAAGTATGAGGTTCTTGCTGCGTCCATGGACCCCGATGATCCATGGCCGCACGCTGAGGAGGCCGAGAAGGCATTGAGAATTTTGAAGGAAGACATTGAGGACGTGAGTGATAACCTTCCATCTCCCTGTAGAATGAGAACTGACCACATACTAGAATCCGGACGAAGATGAAGCCTACCAAAAAGAGAGCCTTGAAGTCCTGAAGAACCTGCACAAGGATCTGGAGATTCTCAAGGAAGACCTCCGTGAGTATGAGAAAGGAGAAGCTGCAGAGGAGCCTGCTAAAGAGCAGCCCAACCGCGTTGGAGAAGCAGTTGAAGCCAAGTCGTCCACTGCGGCTGTCCACGAAGAGCAGGTCAGCACCAAGGTAGACAAGAGAGGCAGGGGATTGGACAGTGATGAAGACCGCTTCATCAAGAAGGGCAAGAAGTAGGAGGAAAATACTGCGGCAAGGTCAGAAGCTCTAGTGGACCCTGACCCTGGCACGCCGCTCCCTATGACGCACTCCCTTAAGGAGCGGCGCAAGTTATTCAAAGCCCTCGAAACCTACAAGAGCTCTCCCGTGGTGAAGACTGGAGACATGGCACCCCCCAGCATGCTTGCGGCCCACGACCGCAAAATCACGCCCACGGAGAGTGATGGTCGTGGCAGCCACCTTCGCGCCGCAATTCATCAAGACCACGTCTCCGAGCGCAGTATCTCTCCAGTGGTGAAGACCGAAGACAGCATGGACGTCGCCGAGCCTCAGCTTCGCGAGACGCGCAAGCGTCAAGGCATGCCCGCAGACAGCGAGTACAGTGACAGCATTCTTCGCAACGCGATCCATCAAGACCGTGTCTCCGAACTCAGGAGTAATCCTGCCATTCCTAACCACGACAAGGTGCGTCAGTGGAACACCCGCGCGCAATCGCCTTTGGCGCAACTTACTACGCCCGTGGATACCCCAGAGACTGTTCGTTACATGTCTCATGCAGTCTCTCCCGCTCCAAAGCTGGATTTGACCGAGCTTGACCAGGCCAGTCTTTCTGCCCCAGCCCATTGACATGTCAACTACGCAGGCACACCCCCGTCAATGTCCGCGGCGAGCAACGACTCCGAGGCGAAAGATCAAAAGTCAGGGGCGCTCGCGACATGCACGGCGACCTGCCAGTGGCGCAATCTGGCATGCCCAGATCGCCTCTCAAGCGCAAGCCAACGCCTCTCTCGCATGTTGAAAAAGCTGTCGAGTCTGAGGAAGCGGGCGAGGCAAAGCCGGAGGACCAACATGATGGACAGTCTGACAAAGGAAGTCCATCGTTCCAGCAACGCACGCCGCGACGCAAAAGGGTCCAAGCTCCCCGCTCCCTTTCGGCTCCGTCCCGGGCGCACGGACCACTATCAAAAAAGTCTTCACCTCCGCAGCAGCGTGCGCAGGAGGCACCACACCCCACAAAAAGCTCCATTCAAGGGCAAAAAGATGATGTTGACTGCTGTGAGACTCGAACTCACGAAGGGAAACCCAACTAGTATGTTGATTTCCGCCTTTATTCGGAACTCTGTTCAGATGTCCTGAAACTAGCGCCATAACCACTCGGCCAAGCAGCCATTGTTGTAGAAAGCAGCTGTTTATTGTATACATAATTTCCACGTGCAGGCGCTGGCCATCACGGGACTACCAGAGTGAGGATGAAGTGCTGTCGTGCTTAGGGATGGAGTTGCGGTTCATCACTGTCAGCTTAAAGGGTCACGGGACCATTTTGGGCTTACAGATGGGAGATTTGAGCGGCTTATCGCCACACCAAGTCCTGCGTAGTATAAAGAATAAATTCACCATCAGGAAAACAGCAAAACTACACTACCATCAATTTTAGCCCAAAACTACAGCGATTTTCTCGCTCTTTGTCCTACTCAACCCGAAAGAAAACCAAGATGGCGCTTTCTACCCATGAGTCCGCTGTAGAGGTCCCATGGGACACTGCAATCAGCAATCAAGACACCCAACCAACAGCATCGACTATCACCCTCCACAGAAAGGCATTTCTGAAAATCTGGTCCCTTCTCCGACCCCCTTCAAAGCGGACTACGAACTGCAGGCCAAGACAGGATGTAACAGGGAGCAGCCCACAGCACCATCACTTATCCACAGATGTCTAGCTCGATTGCACCCAATGGTGCTGATTCACATTCCGCTGGTTCTCGAGACGTCCAGGGGCGGAGCGGTCCATAGGAATTTCCCCTTTCAGAGCGAAAAGCATATTTCCAAGGACTCAGGAAGCTCACACCGGTCAGCAATGCATCGAGAACGACTGGAGAATCCAAGACACAAGCGCGAGGAGCGTGAGCAGAGGCAGCAGTCATACCAAGATTCGAGGATGGTAGGTAGGAGCGTTCATGGTTCGTGGTGCTGGAGGTCCGCGGAAAGGTTTGCAGACGGGCGACTTGTGCGGACATAGCACCAGATCTCTCTCAAGGCAAGATGGTTACTGAGGGAAACGCAGCCAGACGCAGCCAGAGGAAGCACCCAGTCAATCACGGCCAGCCTACCAACGCACATCCACCGTCTTCCCCGACGCTAAGCACTTCCCATCTCCTCAGCCTACCGGCAACGCTCAACCTCCGCTGGTGCCAAAGACAATGAAAGAGGAGGAGGATATCGAGGAAGACGAGGACGACAAAACAAAGACGAAGACTCCGAACAAGCACCAGAGACACACTCATCATCCATACAGCGCAACAATGAATACCCTACCTACCCTACCTACGCCTACCAGCCAAAGGCCAACATAATTTTGAAGACACGCACCAACCACCAACCACCAACCACCAACCCACTAAGTCCTGCCAGCAAAAATTCTAACAAGCTGCCCAATCCAGTCCAGTCCTAGCACACTGCAGCTCAGCCCAACCCAACCCAGCGCATTCGCAGCGAGGAACAGCCAGCGATTTCGAAACCAACGAGGCCCGCGGACGCAGCGGTCGAGGCGTGTCGACAGAACGGCGATATGGATGAGGGCGTGGCGGATTCGACACGCAGAGAAAACGATCGGGAGATAGATAGCGATGGCGACGAGAGATGGAGGGGCCGAGAGGGAGGTGTCGAGTGGAACGCGTCTGATCCTGACTCTATAACTGACGATGCTCCAGGAGACGACCGATTCGGACGGGCTGCGGTGTCGTTGTCGCGAGAGTCCTGCTGGTGGCGCTGCTGCCGCTGATGCTGGCTTTTCGCTGCTGCTGCTAGCTACTGCTGGTGCTAAGATCCTCATGCTCGCTGCACGCAATCCCATTCATACTAGAAGGCAGAAGAGGCGGTCTTTAGTATTACGCGTCGGACAAACTTTTTGGAGGAGAAGAAGGCGAGACAACGAAACATATCAAAAGCATTGAAATAGCAAAAAAGGGGCAAACGTGTAGCCCTCACAACGCCAGCTCGCCAACTCATCAGCACAACCAGAAAAGACAAGGCACTTTTGACCCCCGCCCGCCGAAAAAGACAAAGGCAACTACCTCAGCTACCTAGTGAACAGGGTCGTGGACGTGGGGAAGCAAATGATCATGATTTTCTTGCCAACTTACAACTTTGCCGTCGTCGTCGCCCGTGTAGGCCATCTGCGCCATGGGAAGGACGTAGGTGATGGGCGCAGCGACGTTGATGCCGTCCTCGCGCGTCGTGTCGGTGTGGTTGAGCCGCTTGACCGGCCGCAGCGACCAGAGGCCATCATTATCGTAAGTCACGGCCCAAATCTGTAGATTCCATCAAGTCAGCATGGGAACAAAGCAAGAGAGAAGGGGACGGGAAAGGACGTACGTTGACCACACCCCTTCGATGCCCGGTGAACAGCAGCTCGCGCTCCAGCCACTCGTTGCCGACGCCCTCGTAAAAAGCACACGCGTGCACCACGTCCTCGGCGTCGGCCGTGTCGCAGACGTCCTGCTCGAGCAAGAGGCGGCCGTTGAGCGTGTACAGGAGCACCTTGGAACCGGCGCAGAGCGCAATATGGCCATTCACATTATTGATGCGAGCGCACTGAATGAGACGATCGCCAGCACCGACGTGGCGCACAAACTCAGCCCGATTAAGGTCCCACAGACAGATGCGGCCGCTGGCGTCGGCGGATAGGAACGTGCTAAAAGCGCGCGAGGTGGCGATGACGGTGACGGGCTTACGGTGGCCAAAGAAGCAGACCTTGGGCACCAGGTCGACCGTCTTCGAGTGCGATATGACGTTCCATACGGCTACGGTGCAGTCACTGCCAGCCGTGATGAGCGTCTTGCCATCGACAAAGGTTGCGCACGAGATCTGGCCCTGATGCAGGTGCTCCCACAAACCAATCAGCCGTTTGCTATCCGTCGAGTAGAATCGTACGCTGCCGTCGGTAAAGCCCCATTCCATGTAGCGATCGTAGCTGGGCGGCATGTTGATGCGCAGCGCCGCTGAGCAAAGGATGCGGTCTTGCTTGGGGTGGTGCGTCAAGCTGGAGACGCGCTCACGCGAATCGAGCAGGGTCATGGGTAGCCGAATCAGACATTCGACCGCGCTGTCCAACCGCTTCAATCTCGACGAGTCGCCGTGGGAAGGATGGGCCTTTTGAAATACTTGGTGAGGTGTTTGGCCGAAATTGTGAATGATGCCAATGGTGGCCGTCCGCTCGACGGGGTCGTCAATCAAGTCGAGATTCTTGGCTCCGTGGTACGAGAGGTAGTGAAAGACGTTGGTGGCTTCGACCGCGGCGTCTCCCTGCTGCTTGAAGCCAAAGACGAGGTCGATCCACTTGTGCAGATGCTGCGTCACATAGGGACTTTCTAGAGCCTCGCGGTGCTTGGCAATGAAGATTTCCGGATCACCCTTGGCCCACGGAGGCAGTACGACGTCGTTGATTCTTTCGCCAGAGCCTTGCTTGACGCCAAAGTTGTACCCATTGATGTTCTTGAGAAACTCGGGCAGGTAGAAAAACTCAGGCGTCAGCTCTCGCACATCCGTCGTATTGTCCCGCGAAGCAGAGTTCCAAGCCCTTTCAATCGAATCAAAAAGACGATCTGCATGGTCGAAGCTGCCGCCTTGCAAGAGCAGATATGACTGGACGAAAGGCTGAAGGCGAATGAGGTAGGAGGTCACGATCATTGCCGACGAGTAGTGAGTACCGTAGTGAAAGACAGGATTAGTGCCGTCACTCATCTCAGCAAACGTCTGGTAGCGCTCCTTGAACTCGGCTTCCCTAGAGGGAGTTTGGGCACCCATGGGCTTGGAAAGGTCTCTAAACGTCTTTGGATCGCCGAGATCGAGCTCCTCGCTCGTATAGTCTGCCAAAACCCAGGGAAAGACGGGATACTGCGTGAGGTCGTTGAAAGTCCTACCAGCCATGGTGTTGACCAACATGAGGTAGTGGAAATTGGAAATATCCCCCTTGAGCCACCTTTTGGTAGCAGGGTTCTGAGCCATTGGGTTGAAAGCGTTGACCCACTTTGCGGCCATCGTCGGAGGGGCTTCTTCTGGTGTTCGCAATGATTCCAGTCGCCATGCATCCTCAGACTGCAAAGCTGATGGGCTGGTGACCTGAGGCGCTCTTGAAATCAACCTTGCGTGCAAGTCGTCCCGGAGCTTGGGCGCCATTGCGGTCAAGAGGTAGCTCCGTCCATCGGTGAAGAAGATTTCAATGGCGACATCGCGGAACAAGAAGCGCCTCTTTGAAATACTAATTACCTCGGACCATTTCCAGTGGCGCGTGCTTTGCTCTCCGTTGATCCTTGGAGACTTCTTCTCGACGGCCTCCTTCCCAGAAATAATCTGGACGTAATTGTCGCGCTCCTCTGGCGGCGCCTGCCACACGCGAATGATTTCTCCGTCGGAACGCTGGAAGAAGTCGTCCAAGAGATATAAGGAGTCTTTGCCAAGGATGAGTAGGCCTTCACATGCCTCAAGACCGACAATTCGGGAGACATTGTACACGTGCTGGACCTGATCGCCTTGCTGAAGAGACCGCATGACTTTGCGATTCTTGTCCTCAAAGCCATCCTCTCCCTCGTTTGGATTGGACACCAATTCAAAGTCGTCGTCCCCGTTAGAGACACCGGACGACTGACTGACGGATCGATTTCTCCCGCCTTCTCCGTTATTTGATGTTGGGTGCGCACTGGCAGGAGTAGGACCAGCTGTTTCGGGCGAGTCGATTTGCGGAACATTCGTCAAGAGGCTGAGTCTGTTTTTGGGAACAAATTCCGAGTCTTTACGTTTCGGCTGGTATTCTTCATCTTTGCTGGTAGTTTTGTCCGGAATGATTCTTAGCCTCATCCTGTTTCGACCTTCAGTCTCGTCTAGTTGCCATTGAGAAACAACCTCGTCTTCAAAAAGCGCACAAGGGGCGCGCAGTGTCTGATCAAGCTTTTCCAATGCCGACGAGAGGAACGTGAGGTTGTCCTGCTGGTCTTGCAAGGCTCTTTGGTGCTTTAAGCGCTCTGCAGCAAAGATGTTTGCCCGCCAGTGCGTTGTTGACAACTCGTGGCGATGCCACACGATATCCGCCGACGACTCCTCCATTTGCCACTGCCTGAGACGCTCTTTTCTCTTTGAAACCCTAGTTTTTGCGCTCTCTTCTGTCTTGAGATTC